ACACACACACACACACACACACACACACACACACACACACACACACACACACACGACTTCCCCAATGTCAGAAGATGGAACAATGAACTAATCTGGATCATTTGGGCTCTATTTGTTACAAATGGGACACGGTCACATGTGACCTCATTCTGGCCTCATTTCAGATGTTTGGAGATTTCTGCACCCAAAGGATTTACCTGTCATGTGGTTGCAGAGAAATTAGGGTCAGTTCTGATGTGCAACATTCTCCATTTTTAGAATTGTTAATACAGCAAATAGCTGTTCTACAATATATACAGTTGGAGGACTATTATTATGATTATAACTGACAGCATTTTCTTAAAATCCTCTGTTACTGTACTCAACACTCATCAGTTCTGTGTCAAATAGCAAGTTAATATTCCTATTTTAAAGTTAGTATTGCTGCTGGGTGTGCCTAGACTAAAGTGTATTAAAGTGAACCAACCGTATGATGTCATCTATCCTAATCCAGTTGTTTTGATCCAAAGATGGAGGTCACACCCATGAGTAAGCAATACAAAACAACAGCTGTCACCTTGTCAGCCATGATGTCTGCACGAAGAAAAATAACTGAGGAGACCAAAGATTTAAAATGAAATAATAAATGCAAACACACACACACACACACACACACACACACACACACACACACACACATTATACATACAAATTAAAGTTATGCAGACATTTCATAAGCTGAACCTGGGAAATGCGTTGCACTCTATTCTATTGTAATTCATCATAACACTATTGCCACAGCTCGAATAGAAAGAGAGCATTTTCCTCTGAGCATCACCGAGCTGCACACTGTCAACAAAATAAAAGCCCTCTGACTCACCTCTGTTTGTTTCCTGAGACTCCAAACCGTCTGAAGCTGATCCAGTCTCTCTGCTGCTCGTTTTTATACCAGCGGATAACGGGGACGGTGCAGACATGTGACTCGTGCAGCTACACCAAAACAAAAAACAATTTCCCGTATAACCCTTCAAAATAAATCTCTATCATGAACGTTTCTTGTAGGGATAAAGTTTGGGCAAAAACGACCATACTATAGGTGAAAATACAGTTGTAGAGGAAGTAACCTACATCTTTAAATCTTTTTAGAAATACTAATACCACACGGTAAAAATACTCCAGTACTAATAAAATACCTGCACTGAAAATGTTGTTTATGTAGGCTAAAAGTAGGTTAAAAGTAGGTTATGTAGGTTATGCCTAAGTAGTGTATCAGACAAATGTATATTGTATTAATGTAAAAGCAGGATCTTACATTTCATTTTTAGTTGGTTGAGGTATGTGGAGCTCATTTTTATGTAAATCATTATTTTAATCTGCCATCACAATAAATCAGAGCCTCAAATTAAATTATTGAAATAATTAAATGGAGGAGCAGTAAATCCTCCCATTTGAGAAGCTGAAACCAGTTTGTACTGGTTTGACAGTTTGTAATTAACTTGTTGTTCAATTGATCACATTTGATAAAAGAGGAGAAGCCCTCCATACGCCGATATGTCAGCCCACCTGCGAAGCAACACTTGTGGGTTTAGTGGTACTGAGTAATTTAGAAATTGTTATAATTAATGCAAACAAATCCTTGGTTGTTGTTGATATTCATCATAATTCTTCTATTTAAAGTCAGTGGATAGCTTTTAAACGGTGTTTTACATGTGTTTGGCCCTAGAGGGGATTGCCTCACATGTCAAGTGCCTGGAGAGGTGGGGGGAAACACCTGATTGGCTGCTACTTCACTGCAATTTGATTGGCTGTTTGCCAAGTCATTGTCCTTGTCTTCAACTGACTTCAGCAGTTTAACAGCAAACTAAGGAGAACAGGTATGTGCCCAGTAGGAAATGTGATATATTGTATTATCCTTACTGCATAGGTAAGGTTAGGTCTACAACGATGTCTTGGCCTTAGGTTTTCTGGACTTTTCACTGAGGCTAGCGTTACATATCTTGAGTGTATATATATATATATATATATATGTTTGTATCTATATGTAAAAGATATGTAGCGTCAGTGAAAGTCATGTAAGCTTTCTCCTCAAGACAGAGAATGTATAAGGTCAATACATATATTGTCGTACCTTTATATATGTAATATATAAAACTAGCAATTTCACTTTGATTAATTGTTTTTTTATGTGTACCAATCCTGAAGAGTTACTCCATTTCCTCCACTCGAAGGAAAATATTTTTTTTACATTTACTTTGAAATCTGAATGCGTTTTCCTGTAGTTATGGTGTTCAACTCTACTGGACTTGATGCTCATGAGCTGGAAGGCGTTTCCACATGTTTTGTAATGTATTGGCAGCAGCTCTCAGAGAGACAAACAGTCGATTCATCCTGACCGTGACTCAACATTTAATGACTTAACTTTCACGTGTCTCTGTCTGTACCAAACCAAACCAGATTATATGTGCAGTTTCACACAAAATATGTAACCTTGTCTTATAAATCAAACGTTACTAGCAAAATTCATAGTACAGATAATAACACAATTCCTACAATGGCAGCATGCATTAAGCAAAATAATATTTAAAAATATTAGAGTGACAGAGTGCATTTAAGACATCTTAAAATGAAAAGGGAAAAACAGTACTCACCCCAATGCCTTGATGCATTGTGAGAGCTGACTACATCTATTACAGCATAATTGTATTAATATACTGTGAAAACCATTTGTTTCTTTCGTCAAGCTGCGGAACAACATGAACAGAAGGGTGTGTGTGTGTGTGTGTGTGTGTGTGTGTGTGTGTGTGTGTGGGGGGGGGGGGGGTTACTGATAATTACTGATATTAAATCTATCTAATAAAAAACAAAGACACAACAAAGCTAGACTCAGTGTCTTTTTAATGACACTGTTCTGGATGAAAATCAGCCTGGGTCAACATGAGTTGACACTTTCTGTTAGTGTGAGGATGTTTTGGGGATTTTAAAACAGCAAAAAGGGGTTAAAACATGCATGCACAAACAAACACACAACAGGGTTTAATTGAGGAGAACTGAATCAAGCACCTGTCAAACTAAGAATGAATTAATACTGAAATATGTTTAAACAAATCAGTAATCCTTTAATCCTTACAAACAACAAGTGAGGACTGTGTCATCTAAGGGGATGGATGTTCCAGTAAATCTCTCTCTCTCTCTCTCTCTCTCTCTCTCTCTCTCTCTCTCTCTCTCTCTCTCTCTCTCTGACACACACTTCTACACTTATACACAGATTCCTTAGTTCTGTGTCAGCAGCAGTGCAGAGTTTTGCAGATGTTTGCATCCATATCACAACTTGTGATATTTGTCATGTTTTGACAAAAGGTTCTGGTATCTAATTAAATAAATACATTTAAATTCCCCACTTTTGAAACTGTTCAGCTCTTGCAAAATAAGAAATACGATATACCTTAGATTGTTATACATTACACTTAATATTCATTTACATACGTACAGTATACTGCATCCCAAATATGCTCTCCAAGATAAAAGTGGAACTGATCATCCAAATTATTCTATTTTAAGTATTGTTAATGATGATATCTTCACAACAAATAGAATAAAGGAACCAAGTCTGTGAATTTGTCTGCCGTCTTGTTCTTTGCTGCCTGCAGCTGAAGCACGTCCACATCAAATATCAAAGAGTTTCACTAAAAACGAATGTTTTAATTGTTCTGAGTCTGTTACAGTGTGTTTTGCGAGGGATCAAGCTGTGTTGACCCTCAGTGCAAAAGTCGAATGTGACACTAGGTGGCAGGAGCTCCATTCCTATTCAGTAAACTATTTTCCCTGGAGATCCCATTGCTGTATACAATCAGTACTATGTGTACATAGTACATTCACTATGTGTTGGATATACTTATTTCCCTTCCCAGTAATTAAGAATTAAGTCCAATTCTGATTATTATATAAATACATATTTTGCTGCTGTCTGATTTCTGGCTGTTAACAACATTCCAGTGTTGTTCATTCGCCAAACTGAGTCACTTTGAGCTTGTTAACAGCAACCCGTTGGGTCAAAATAAATCAACAATAGCGACCCAAAACATCTGCGTTAAGATAATTAGGACAGAGAGAATACTGGATTTACAGATGAGAGTGAGACACGGTGGAAAAATGTCCTCTGTCCAATATGGCCCCCACCTGTGAAATTCCAGCCAGCCATGACACAGCATCCATCTCATTTAACAGCAACTCAGCTGTTGACATGACAGCAGCTTTATTTGATTTCCGTCTACTAAACAAAGTTTATATCCATTGAAAACATGGAAATGGCAACACTAAAATCAGTGATCATGTGGTGAGCAGTGACACAAACTATTTTAGATTTGTACTATCACTTCGTGTTAGTCATTTGTTTTTCTCTTTTCTACCTCGCTGTCTCTTTTTCTGGAGACTTGTTTGCTTCACGACGTGCTCCGGATGGAGCTTCATCAAACCAAGATGCTTGTTGTTGTAAAAGAGCAATTTTCTGTGCAGGAGATGGGACTCTTGGGGGATCTTGCAGTGTTTATCCTTTACGATGATTTACAGCCACACTGAACTCACTCACACACTCACAGCGTTCCTACAAAATGCTCCTCATCCCATAATGTACATGCAAAACAATAAAAACTAAAAGATGCTATATGTAGCATGTTTAGCATTTTGAAACAATGGTACTGTATAGTTACTGATATCAACTAGCAATACCAGAATGTAGCTACAGAAAGTTTCTGATAAACAGTTCTGAACAACTAATGGACGATTTTTTTTTTAGTCCAACAAATTTAGATGATGACGCTAACAAAAAAAAGATTGTTTTTTTAAGATGAACGTGTAACAAAGCCTCCTCTTTGTCTTCCCTACCAACACTTATTATTGTTTTTTTACTATGTCTCTTGTTGTCTCTTGTTGCTTCAATGCTTCCGTCATTATCTCCTTTAGCATCGGGAACACTATGAAGAAGATTCCAGAGTCTTGAAATCTCTTCAAGTCTACAGCTCTGGCCAAAGCAGCACTACTGAAGTGAGAAAAGGGTAACCAACCATCGACTCTTACTTCCTTTGTTTACGTAGTTACCAGTAACTTACGTAAGCTTGATCTTAACACCACACAGGCCAACAGTGCACATGTGGAGTTAAAACTTGCTGGCCTCGAGGTTCGTTCAGTTTGTGTTGCTCTGTGTGGACAGTTTACTAGCCGCAGATCCAGTGTAACTAAACTAATTATCCGTTACGTGACCCTTTGCAAACGTTTTTACTCCACTTTGTCTGTCTGTGTGTGTGTGTGTGGGCATCATGTGCCAAGCTGCTTTAGTGTTTAATTGGCCATCTAGTGATTTGAAACCATGAAGCTCTGCAGCCAATCCTCAGCCAGTGGCATGGGTTTTAACAATTAAACACACTGATGCAGGGAGCTTTAAATGAGCTGCTCTGGCTTCAAACACAAAACATGATTATCATCAAGCTTAATTGGTCCCATTGGTGGAACTGAATGACCTGTGTCTGACGAGCCACAGATGAACTTCAAACATTTGGACGATTCTGGGATCAATTTAGGGGAAATCGTGTTTCTGAGCATGAATGTGTTGGAATGTGCATGAACCGAATGATTAAGAAACGTCACGTTATGATCAAAGGCTATAGTGGCTCCGTGATAAAGTCCAGCTGACTGATGTTGGTCATTACATTACCTCATGGGATCCTCATTTTTACAAACCGTAGCATCCAAAGCCAAATTAACTTGAAAAGGAGAAGACGGGAGAGAGAAGGATGAGGCTTCAAAGCCATTCAGGGATGTAGAAGTAATCATCAAAAGGGGATTATTCACTCAGATTAAGGTTGAGTTGTAATGCAGAAAAATTTGGCAGCACTGAAACGTCGTGATGAGATCTTCTGAAGATCTTCTGTAGTAATCTATTGCAATCAATGTCCTTTTGGGCCTGGAAAGTGTTTCTCTAAATTGTTTTTCTTTATCCGCTGACCATTTGTTGACCACCTACACTACCGCTTTTATCCACAGGGACCGCCAAAATCAACACAGAATTAAAGTTCCTAGTAGCTTTAAGTACATTCAAATTTGAATGCAGGAATTTAACTTGTAACAGAGTATTTCTACACAGTGCTGTTGCTACTTAAGTAAATGACCTGAGTACTTCTACCACCACTGCTCAAGTCTCTGAAAATACATAGGAGTTGTGTTCACCTTTAATAACTAGAATATACACACATCTTCATATTACTGTGTGTGTATGTATATTTTAAAGTGTCATAGTGAGTGCAGGAGAAGGAAATAAAGGAGCTGAAACTCCACAATGCCAGACAGCCACTGTTATTGCCTCGTCAGCTGGATGGCCGGATGTGTGCGTTGGTGAGAATATTACACCTGCTGTTTAGTCTTACACACTGGTAGTCGAGGTTAGCGGGGTCAAGCTGAGAAGACTGCCAGCTGGTGCCAGACGGGGACTATAGCTTTGTGTGAGAGTAAGTGTGTGTTCACTGAAACTATTTTCCAAGGCCATAGATATTCAAGGTGCTCGCACCACAATGTTCAAACATTTGTTAGCAATTAGCCTCAGCCACAAAACTGACTTTCAACAAAACACATGGACCCTCCCTCCCTCTCTCTCTCTTTTCTGTTTTTCAGCCTGTCCCTTTTCCAGTCCCTCCCTCATTTTCCAGTTTCTTTGTTCCCCTCCCATATCTCTCTCTCTCTCTCTCTCTCTCTCTCTCTCTCTCTCTCTCTCTCT